ATAAAAAATGTTTATTTGAAAAAGATTTTAAATATGTACACTGCTTAATTATGAATATATACTCTTTTTTTTGCATAATACACAAATACAATAATGATTTTATCATAAAACTTCAAAAATTATTTAATTGAAAATGCTTTCTTAAAAAGCCAAGTTTTAATTTCTTTTTTAAAAATACAAATTGATTTTGCTTCACGGACATTCTCAGGAATAGAGTTCCATAACTCAGGAGCAGCAAAAGAGAAAGATCTTCTGCCATAGAATTTAAGGTTAAAAGATGGTTTGTCCAAGAGGTTAGCTGATGAAGATCTTAAAGAACGTGAGGGTTTATAAGGCTGAATAAGATCAGAAAGATAAGAAGGAGAAATTCCATTAAAAATCTTAAAAGTAATTAAAAGAATTTTATATTCAATGCATTGATCTACAGGCGGCGAATGCAAGTTGTAAAGAATAGGCGTGATATGATCGCGTTTGCGAGAAAAAGAAGTTAGTCTTGCTGCTGCATTTTGCACACGTTGTAACTTATTAATCGAAGACTTAGGAAGACCATAGAGCAAAGAATTACAGAAATCTAGTTTTGAAGAGATAAATGCATGTACAAGTGTTTCACATGCACTGACACTGAGCCATTTGCGTATTTTCCAAATATTGTGAATGTGGAAAAAGCATGATTTACATACTGCTGTTATATGGATTCTAAAGAAAGCGTTTTGTCAAAAATGACCCCAATATTTCGTGCCGAGGAAGATGATAAAATGTCAAAGCCAAGAATATTAAGCGACACTTCCGATGAGAAAGGGTGATGTGCAGCTGAATGTACCACTAGTTCAGTTTTATCACAGTTAAGTTTTAGCTTGTTTGTAACCATCCATAAATCAATATCTTTGACACTGGCCTCAACCTTGGATTTTGCTGTCATCATCTCACATAAGGACGTTGTAGAGAAAGAAATATATAATTGTGTATCATCTGCATATAGGTGATAGCCAAGCTCATGCCAATGAATAATATCTGCAATTGGTGAAATATATAATGAAAATAAGATAGGTCCTTGAATTGATCTCTGAGGAACACCACAATCAAAAGAACGAGAAAAAGATTTACCTTCCGGGACACTGACATAAAATTGCCTATCACTAAGATAGGATTTAAACCATTTAAGAGCTAAGTCTCTAACTCCAAAAGATGTATATAGCCGATTTAAGAGAATATCATGGTTTACAGTGTCAAAGGCARCAGAAAGGTCTAGAAGGACAAGAAAAACTGATTTGTTCATATCTATGTCAMGCAAGATATCRTTTTGCACTCTCATTGATGAGAGTGTTAATGTTGGAAAAGGAGCTAACACTACCATTAGCTATTTGCATTATTACTTGGAAAATCATGTACTTGGTGAAAAGAACGCACAATTSCATGCAGATAATTGCTGCGGACAAAATAAGAACAATTACTTTCTATGRTATTTTGCCTGGAGAGTAATAATGAAAMTTCATCATATCATCCATTACTCCTTTTTAATCACAGRACATACTAAATTCGGTCCTGACCGTTGCTTCGGCCTTATAAAGAATGGATATAAAGTTAATTACATCTCATCTCTATATGAGTTTGCTATAATGGTCGATCAGTCTAGTAGTGTTGGCATAAACAAAGCACAGCTGGTAGGAACCCACTATGGAACTGTGATTGTACCAGTATACAATTGGGTTGATTTCTTAGAAGATTTTTCCATAAGATTGACAGTATTAAGAAGTACCACCGCTTCAGGTTCACGAAGAATGAACCTGGTGTTGTTTACGTCAAAGAGTACGTATCGTYAGAGGAAAAACGGCCGACTCTCACCAATAASTGGARGGATGTACCAGCAAGAACACCGCCAGTTATTACTCCAAGCGGGTTAGACAGCAACAGGAAGAGCTATCTCTATCGAGAAATAAGACAATTTTGTAAACCAGGGACGGAAGATCTTGTTGCTCCTGCCCCATTGACAGGAGATCTTTAATAAATCACTAATTTATTGTAAATCAAATTATATTTTTTACATTTGGAAATTATATAATAAATTATTATATTTTTGATTATTTACATAATTATCTTCCCTGGCGTGTCCTAGATGTACCGAAGGCAAATTCGAACCCTTTACGAGTGCCNTGCAATCTACTCTTCTAAGGATGAGGAAACTGGATCTATAAAAACATTTTGCGCTTTTTTATCTGTATCATCTATAGCATCCTCGAACATTTTGGATATATATGTACCCACTTCAGTCACTGTAAGATTAGTGTTACCTGCTGCATGATGAAGAGCAACATAGCAGTCTACAGMATCCTTTTCGTGTTGTATCACATAGTCAAGGGATGGAACACCTTTTTGTTTGTCCTTAATGTACATTATGTCTTTCAAAAGGGGGTCTGGCTTTTTTCTTCTAATAATAGCTTTCTTAAAGTTAGACGCAGTAAGAAGTGTTCCTCGTAACTTTTTCCATGCATTGTTCTCATTCTGACCTCTAGTTTCCCTTTCGATTTMTTTCATTTCCTCTCAGATATTTTTKGTCCTTCRRCATAACAGTCAATGATTTGCTTAAATACTGTGCTATTAATGTCATAGTCATCGTTGAATGGGACATCTTCTAATAACCCATCTTCRGAATATTCAATCTTCAATATTATATCTATTGCATCATTGGGAATGGACTCGCAGATACTGTCAATTTGAATTGAAGAAGAATCGGATGGCTTAATATGATGAAAGAGAAAATAGCTGCTGCTTTGCAAACAGCCAGACAGTTTTTCTCCCAATAATGCCAAGGCATTGGTGTCAACATCCCTATCTGTTGGGGCACGTGGGTCATAACTTGAGATCTTGGCACTTGAAGCTGTGRCTTTGCCATATCGTATCTTCTGAAAAGTTATCTTTTCGATTGGACTTGGTTCCACTTTCATATTCCTGGGAACATTCCAGCCACATAACTTTGCAAGATACTGGTTGGTTCTTTTCTCGCAGGCCAGAACAGTTAAAGTTCCTCAATCGCAAATATAATYCCTCCAATATGATTACATCTTCCCATTCCATGATCACCTGTCCTAGCAAATAGAAAACAATCAAAGTTTTAGACTTTAATCCTCAATTTCTAGATTTAATCCTCAATTTCTATGCATGATATACCTCYAATATAATAGATACTTCATTGTTAATAAATGTAAAACACAAACAACAGTAAAAAATACTTTTAAGTATTTMTTTTAAATAAAAGTTCTAAAAGGAGATATTCTTTGGACCAAGCCAATAACTTGCATCATATTAAAGGTAAGAAAAGTTTATAATACTGCTGTACTTTTGAAAAGGTAGAATAGATAACCCATCCACGAGGTATTTCAGATTCCCAAAGGGCAAGTTTTATCTTGAAATCATAAAAAATTCTTACTACTTACCCTGCAGGACACTTGCAAGCTGCCTTTACTATCTTGTTGTTAGTTCGATCAAAAACCAAAACAGASTTATATTTCTCGGATTTCATCGAGGCCAGAAGCTCTGCTTTAACAAATACATAGCTGTCTTTTTGACAAAKTTGAAGGTCCTTGATGTGGTCTTCTTTGAAAAAGTTGAATGCTTTCAACTTTTTGTAACCAGCGCTTGCTGACACATCAAGGTTGCTGTATTTCGATGTCTTCTTCACAAGATAAKMWWACWGTTGAACAAATGTAAACGCCGGCAGTTCAATCAGGTCCTTGCTCCACACGCAATTATTAGCCTCCCTAATGATTACTTCATRGGTAAAATCAGCTGTATAAGATGTACAAGGCATAGAATCGTTGTTTGTATCAGTACAGGCTTTCGATCGTTCGACAAGAACGAAGCAACGCAGGACAATATCTTCTTTTTTCCGCTTGTTGGCTCGCCAAAATTCCTCAATATCGTCTTTAGCTCTTCTACTTTGAGTTTTCTTAGATCGCTTGTAGATTAGAAATGATTTAGATTGCTATATTTATCGCTATTAATTAGTCATTAGAAGTCATTTGTGAAGTTGTA